TGAATGTATCAAAATCTTAAAAACCTGCTTCCATCAGCTTATATTACTTCCCAAAAAACTACATTAACTAAGAAGAAATTGAAACAATAAAGTCTCAAAATTTAAAACATGCTTCCTTCAGATTCCAAAATTTCAACAAATAAGACCAACAAGGAGCATAGAACATTTATACATTATCCAAAGATTCCCTGCTTCCCTAAATTCTAATTAATTCAGGGGCTTGGAAATGTTTGCTTCTTAATACCACATTATTACCCATCACCTTTCAAGCTCATCTATTAACACCTATCACCCCTTATCTCATATATTTCTTGTCTTAGCCCCTAACATGCCTTTCTTCCTAGCCAACACCTGGCCTGCAACTATAGCTCTGCCACCTGTCAGGCTACATCATCTTTTCATCCTCCTAGATCTACTAGGTATCTCCATTCTCTTTTCCATAAATCCATCGCCTGCTCCTTACCTAGTTCTCTTGTGTCCTTCCAGCAATACCAGCCCAGTTCACTCAAGCCCAATGCAGGAATTCTCTACAGAGGGTTCCAGTTGTTGCAAGACTAGTAAGTTTCTTGCCTTCCAGTGTCAAGTGAAAGTGGTGAAAACTTGCTAGACCTTTTCATACTCTTCTTCCACCCTTCCTCGGGGCACTGACCCACATGCCACACATAGCTTCTGGCATGAGTTGGCTCTTAGCACCCAGCCATTGCAGAAGTTTCTCTGCATTCCCCCAGACTGTTCTAGACACTCCCACATCACATGCGACATTCTTTCTTCCCCATGACATATTTGTCTGGGGCATTCAGCTGTTCTACACAGTCCCCAACTGTAAGGAGCACCTGCACCAGTACAATCTGATGTGCTAGCAGCCAACCAAAGTCCTGGGGCTTCTTTTTTTAAACACCCCCTTCCAAACTGTGTCCTTCTTGCCTTACCAACCTCCCCACTGGGGATACAGGCTGTGTCTACACAAGATACTTAATACACATTAGCCTAATAAGACTGTGCAGTAGCGTGCTAGGCAAAAACTGTGTTAATACGCTACTGTGCAGTAAGTGTCAATAAAAAACCATGCACCAGAGCTACTGAGCAGTAACTGTAGTTACTACGCATTTAGTTAGTACTTCATTAAGCAAATACTAAACAAAATGTGCAGTATCTGCTGCACAATAATGAACATATAGATGCACCCACAGTCTGCCTTTCCCTCACTCAGCTCTTGATTTTAGTTATGGTCCACCAACTTTATTTCAGCCAGCATCTGCATCCTGTACTGATTCACAAATTTTACAATCTTCTTAGGCAGACAAGTTTTTTTTGGGTAAGTGTAATATCTTTTATTAGTCCACCTGGATAGTTGGAAAAATTGTTCCTTGCAAGCAAAGTTTCAGGCACAAGTGCCCTTCCTCAGGTGTAAGGAGAGTGTGCTGGTCTTTGAGGGCATTTGTACACATGCTGGCACCGAAGCGCCACACACTTTTAAAAGTGGCTGGTGCTGCGGCACATACATTTGTATAAACGGTGAAATGCACCTCAGCTCTGAGAAAATGGTGGCAGTATGCTTTTGAACTAAAACACATCAAAGGTGTTGTAGTTCAGAAGTGCACCACAGCCATTTTCTGCATGCTGACACGTATTTCACCACTTATACAACCACGTGACGCAGTGCAGTGCGTGTCAGCTCATGTCTGGAGCAGATTTGATTAACTGAGTCTGCTCTGACATGCCAGATGTCCTGCACACTGGAGCATGAAAATGTAAGTGGACAAATGCCTTATGAGGCCACACTATTAAGACTATAGCAGGAAAATGGTGGCCTTGGAGAGTCAAATGGCCCCCTTGCCCTCTCCCCCTCACCAACCCCGACCTCCACTCCTTCCCCCTGCAGCACCTTCCCTGCACTTACCATCAGACCCTGCTCAGGTTCTGCTCCAACTCTGAGCATGTATAAGTGAGGGGCAAATTTAAATCATAAAGGACCAAAAAACCCCAATGTTGAAATAAACATGCTTTTAAAAATTTGGATATAAGGAAGTTACTCTGGGTATATATACACTTAGTTTATCCAGAAGTGATGTGTCCCCCTTTGGGTGCAAACTGCAGCAAGCATCAGCACAGGCAGTCCAGAAACACACTTATTATGATCAGCAGCACTTTTGAATCTCTCTATCTGCAGCTCAGGCAAGGAATGATAGTACTCCAAAGCCTAACCGCTCACAGCTGAGCATATAGATCAGGCTGGGCCTCAGCAGAGTCACCAGCATTTCAGGCCATGGTAACCCCAGAGCTTAGCACTGCTCAGTATGTGTTTGTACTCCAGATACCTGCAACAAAGGATCCATGTGCTAATTAGCTGCCAACACAATTGGAACCATGTGTTCCTGTCATGAGTCCTTGGACCCTCCAAACAGTTATATGCAGATGAGGCAGGAAGCCCCTGATCCAGCTTCTCCCTGTAGGGCAAGGCCATACCATTTAAGGATACAGAAGGTAAAACAGTGGCGCGGTGGGGCAGGTGCTCCTTGCTCTCTGACCTCCAAAATTCTTGCCCATGCAGTACCTTTCCCAGCCTTCATATGAAAACCTGCTCAGGCTGTCCTTGCTTTTGGAGCATGTGAAAGTGAGAGGATATTTCAGACACAAATGACCAATAAACACTATCTTTGAAACAAATTTGCCTATAGTAATTTCTATATTGGCAAATTACTCTGGGTACCTACAGACTTAGTTCATCTGGATATAATGCATTTCACCTTTAGTGCAAGCTGCTGCAAGCTTTGGCACAGGTAGTCCAGACACACACTCTTGGGCAACACTTTCTTATTTCTTCATATACAAATTTTTTTTTTTTAATAAAATTTCATTTTTGGGGCCTTTACAACACCTTTACAACATCAAACTTCTATTACAATACTCATATTGAGTACCCGCATGCCTGTCTGCATCTCTTTACCCATTACAATCATGCTGGACCACCTCTGCTCCCTGTTACCACCCATTTCAAAAACTAATTTCTATTTTACAGTGCTTACCTCCCTGGAGGGGTTGGTCAGTGGGCATGAGGAATCATCCAGGCAGGGACAAGCTTGAGCCTGCACTTTGCTGCTTATCTCCTCACATCTCCAGGCAGCCTTCAAAGGATCTAGCAGCACCCTGGTTGAGAATCACTGCTCTAGTCAAAGAGGGGTGCCTCAAATCTAAAAAAACATTGAGACCCACTGGTATAGACAAATATATACTTTGGAGCAGCTTCAAAAGCGGGGAGGAACATCTGATCAGGACCACACAACAGTACTTATGCTGTACTGTTACCTGAGAATGAGGTTGTGGTGACATAAATCAGCTAAATCAACCTCAACTTGACCTTGCATGAAGCAGGATTAAAACTGGAGTAGTATGTGCATCCTCAGGGGCTCACACACATGTAGCACTTACATTGTAACAGTTACTGTACTCCTGAGAACTGGCTCCCCCCTCTGCTTTTGAAGTTGCTCCAAAGGTGCTTTTCTCCATGTGTCAAGGCATCTACAGACTTCAGGCATTTTCAAAGGCAGGCAACAGATGACCCAAGCTGCTCAGTTCTGTCCACACTTGGACAGTTCTGGATAAGCAGAGAGATATAACTCTGGTCAACTACAGCAAAAAGGGCAACTCTATAGATTAGGTATCCCCAGTTAGATGGTAATTAAGTAACTCTACTTAGACAGGAAAATGTAGGTGCTTCTACACAAACCTGCCTAGTCCCACTTCGTTCCCCTTAAGGATTAAAACACTGCACAGCTCAAAGAGTTCAGCCTCTAATCCAGTGTTCTTCAATCCTTTCATCTCAAAGCACCCCTCAATAAAGTTGAGGCACCCCTCAGAAAATGTCAGTTCTTTGTTTTCACTTATTATTTTCACGCCCAAATGAATCCAAGGAGCCCGTGAACATCACCCTGTGAATTTCCGCCAGAACGCAGGAATGGGTATGGGACAGGAAGATGTCCCCCAGCCACAGACTCCTTCCTAGTCGTACAGGTGGCCAGTTTAGGAGAGCACATTGGCCAGGATGTCCCCAGACTTGGCAGGGCCACGGGCAGGGAACACGTGAGCAAAAGGTGCAGGGGGTAGCGCAGCCACAGCCTCAGCAAGAGCTTCCCAAGGAGGTGCCGACACAACTGCTCAGATGGCTTTGTCCCTGGAGATCCCATCATCCCGTGAATGACGCGCGCGCCCCTGACAGCACTACCCCTGCGCGGGCCCCCACGGCCCCCTTCAGAGGGGCTCCAGGATGCACGCGGCTGAGCCTGGCGGCTCTCACCTTTGAGCATGGGCTGAGCTCTGGAGCTAACTGGAAGGAGCCAAAACCACCGAGGGCCAGTCGCAGCCTCCAGGTGGCTTGTCCTTCGCCCTGCTGGCTGGGCCTGGCGCAGGGTCCCGAGGGCATGTTGGGCCCTGCCCCATGCTCAGAGGATGGACAGTGTCACGACACCTTGTCGAGCACTAACTCTGTAGCCCGTTCCCTCTCACCTTTTCATAGGGAGATGAGGACTTTAACGTGACTTTCCATTAATTATGCTATCCTTGTGAACTGCATAATATACACAGTGTGTGGCAGGGGCCTTCCCAGCCCTCGTCCCTGCATCATCTGACATTAGGCACAGTCAGGCCTGTACCACCCAGGGGCCCCTCCAGCCCTGGCTGCTATGAGCTGGGGCCAGCCCAGGGCTCTGGCTACCCCGGGGGAAAGAGGTGCCTGCAACGCCCCCGCCTGCCGCTAGGGGCCGCGCTCCGCCCGCTGCCCACGCGCAGCATTGCCTCCCCCCCAGCAATCCACCTCCTGCCAATCACCGCGCTGAGCCCCAAAGCCCCGCCCCCTCCCCTCCTACCGCAGGGAGCCCGGATGACAAACGCTTCCGCTGGCCCGCCCAAGGAAGCGGCGCCGTACTCGGCGTTACCACGAGCGTGCGCGCGCACACCTGGAAGACGCGCTCTTCCTTCCGCATTTCCGGCCCCTCTCCTGGGGGCGGTGCCCTGGGAGCCTGGCGCGTGACGTCATTGCCATGCGCCGGGATGAGCGGCACGCGGTAGGGCCATGGCGGCGGCCACGCAGACCCCGGCCCCAGCGTCCGGCCTGGCGGTGCCGTCCTTCGCGGCGGCCTGCGACCTGGTGCCGAGTCGCTACTCGTGCCTGGTGGTGGTGCCACATCGCAGGCACATCGCGCTGGCGCCGCGCTTCCTGCGCCGCAAACTCACGGGCATCCGCGACCAGCTGGACGCCGGGCTGCTGCGCTACTGCGACAGGTGCGGGGCGGGGCAGGGATGGGCGGAGGGAGGGAGGCTTAAACCACTCGCTGTCTCACTGTCCTGCTACTCCTGCAGCCTGGGAGGCGTTCCGCTGGCCTACAGCCACGTGAAGATCGTGGGGGCGCTGGGTGACATTTACGACGACCAGGGCTCCATCCACCTTCACATCGAAGCCGACTTCGTGGTCTTCACGCCCCAGAAAGGGACCAGGCTGGTGGTACGTAGGTGACAGGGGCGCGGGTGCTTCTTGCACCCACTTAATTGTAGCTTGGGCCAACTCTGGGGAAATGGATGAAGCTGGTGGGGGTGCCTCCTCCTGTCCTCCTTCCCTGCCTGCTCTGCTGCTTTGCTCCCTGTTCCCTCCCCAGGCTGACATGTGGAGTCTGCTTGTACTGCCCTGGGCCTCCCCCTGTGCTAAGGTCTTGTGTTTGTCTTGCACCTGGAGCTACCGCAGGAGACAGGTTTACCTTTTGGGTTTTAAGATGCTGTTCATTAAACGCATGAAGCGTAGATGCATCTTCTCCTGAAGGCCTGTTAGGAGCCAGATAGCAGTATCTGTTTGGTTCTGTCATTGGAACAGGGTCATGCGGTACCTGTGCGCCCCTTTTTGGCACAAAAAACAGGTTTTGCTCTGGAGTATTTCAAATAACGAGCCAGGAATCTCTGCCTTGTGGAAGGATGGTTTTCAGAGATGCCCATGCCAGTGCTTCTGCAGGTGTATGTGTAAAAGTAGATTGAGATACTAACTTGCTGATACTGCCCTTGCAGTCTTTAGGCACAGAACTGGGTTAAGCAGTTCACTTTAATTTAGCAAATTGACCACTTCCACATCCAAAGTCTTAATGGTAAAATAAACGTGTTGTTTTCAAAGCATGAAAGAAAATTCTACTTTCAGAGCATTGAAAGTAGAATTATGTGGCCATGACTGGAACATTTAAATAGAAACATGACTACAGCAGTAGTCACAGTTAATCTTTATGAAAGTACAGTTTTTAGAACCCTTGTTTGTAAGCAGGGCACATTACCTGCTTCCTTTCCTAATGTACCATGCATCTCAAACAGGTTTGAAAATGTTTTTTCTTGTCTGTGTTTTGTCGTCTATCATATTCTTTCTTAGAATGCCTGATCATGAGAGATTCTTGTGGGTTGTGGCATTTTAAGATCCTATTATATGTGTAGGTACTTACTAAGGTCAGGCTGACGTTTTAGCATATTCTTCCTTGCTGTTAAGCATCCTAATTTTGCATTTTGTAATTTGAAAGACAAAGAAACAAACAAATCTTAGAAGTGACTTGAGTATTTACAGCTGTGAAGGCTGTGTGTCATACAAATTGATTGCATGCTTTGTATGTGTTAACTCTTACATGTGCAGAAGTCAACATCCAGGAAACTCCAAGCAGATTTAAAACGTTGTAGGCACAAGTGAAAAGAAAAAAGGAGCTCTCAACCAGTGCATTGCTGAGATGCTGCAAAAGCATCTGTGAGGGATGCAAAGTCTCAGTTGACCCTTAACCCCCTTTAAAAACGTTCCTGCAGCCCCAGGTAGAATTTAAACTGAGATTAGATGTAGCAGAGAGCTGTCTTAATGCAGTGCTAAATAGCTCCTCTGAGAGACTACCTACTAATTTCTTCAGGTTCAGTACTGGGTAAACACTGCTACACTACTTCTGTATGGATAGCTAGCTTTAGGATCAGTAACTTGCCGGGAAGAGGAGCATATGGGAAGTAAACTGTGGAGCTGTACATGGTGTTGGAAAGGAGACAGGCTGGCAGGGGAGAGACAGTGCCAGGCACCTGGGATTGGTTTACTAAATCAAATGTCAAGAACCATTGTATTAGCAAATGTGAAACCTGAATCAAATTTGATTGATCTCTTTCTTTTTTTAGGGTGTGATCAATAAAATTGTCCCTAGTCACATTGGCTGTCTGGTACATGGATGTTTCAATGCTTCCGTCCCTAAACATGATTGTGTGTCAGCTGAACAACAGCAAGACCTTGGGTTAAAAATAGGAGATACATTGGAATTTGATGTTTCTCGCTTAGATTCTGATGCTGCTGGAATGTTCTTCATCTGGGGACGTCTGACTAAAGACAGGTTCAGTGATAAGATTATGATTATTTTTCTTACATTTATTTAAAGACTACATGATAACACTGAATGTCTTGTCTTAAATATAAACGTCTTCCTGTCTCTTTCATATAAAATTAGTTTAGACTTTATATAGCTATGGATCCTATTAACAACAGAACTTTAACATGATTTACCTTGGAGGAGTTTGTTTAAAAAAAAATCCAAAGTAGCTAAAATAGTTTTTAAAAAAAACAACATTTTTCATGCAAAAAATCTGTTGCGTCACACGTACATGTTACAGAATGTCATGGTCAATTAATTCTTGAATGGTGTTTAGATAATTTTATAATCAAATTTGTTTTATGGTTTAATCTGAAAATCTAAGGTGATCAGGTGTGCACCATTTTTTCATTTTTTTTAAATACTATGTTCAGCAGAATTTCAAAGCAAAGTACCAAAATATTTATTAACTAGCAAATTGCCCATCAAAAATTATTCGAGTGGCAGGGGGGGACAGAGGCCTGCATCCAGCCCCCTACCCCACTGCCTTGGGCTGGGGCTGTGGCCGTTTCCCCTTGCTACTTGGGGCCTTTTCCCCGCCGCCTCTTTGGGCTAAGGCCAGGCCCAGGCCCGCTCCCACTCCCCCACTGCCACTTCGGCCTGGGCCTCACAGTGTCAGTCACAGGCGCAGCCACTGGTCATCCCCCTCTCCTCCCCTCCCCTCCCCACTCCCCTACCTTCCTCCCCTCTTCCCCACCACCTCCCTCCGTGCTGGCTATTGTTGCAGTGGGGGGCGGTGAGACACTTCTGCCCCTCGCTCCAAGGAGCAGGCTCTTGCCCCAGTCCCAGCTGTTATGGTGGCAGTGCTGTACCATGTGGGGCAGGGTGAGGCCAGTGCTGCACAGCCAGTACTGTGTGCCCCTGCTGCCTCCCAAGGAGTGCGGGGGGGGTGGGGGCCACTGTTGACCTTGCCCGCCGCTAGCGCCTCTCCCCCACCGCTACTCCATCCCCTCTGTCATGGCAGTGGTCCGGTTCCTGTTGTCCCCCCCTATGCCTCCAAGGAGCAAGGCAGGATGGGGTGAGGCCGGCTCTGCTCGCCTCCCCCGCTCTGGCCCCTCAGTCCCTGCTGTCATGGTGGTGTTCCGCCATGTATATCTCTGTCCAGAGCACTCTGATTGGCTGCCGAGGCAACCAGTCAGAGTGCGAATCAAGGGTTATGGACAGACAGACTAAGGCTTGTATAATATTAGAATTTATTAAATACACTTTGATACAAATCCAGGAGATATTTCTTGCACAGTTTTTATTTTGGTGCTTCTAAATATTATAATCAACTTTCTCTTTAACCAATTTAGGCCCCTCTACATGTTACAAGTATTGTACAATTAACTGTTTAATTATGCAATTACCTTAAGACCAGCTACACATGCAAAATACTTATCGCACAATAAAAAGTTCCAACCAGGTATAAAGTTAGACCTTGAAAATGTGTACTAACTTTATAGCTCGTTGCTTTCAAGCTTTATTTTCCATGTGTATCGGGGCTTCTTCCCTTGGCTGAGAGCCGCCATGACACCGAGGCGCAGGGGTGGGTCACGCCCAGCATGAACGGCCCCTGGGGATCATGGCTACCATGATGCTCCAGGTCTAGGGGTTTCACGCAACTCTCTTCAACTGAGGGGGCTCCCAGTCGCAGAAGCTTGCTTCTTTCCTGTGCAGGGGGAGCCTGGGTTCGGGCTCCCCCTGCACTGGCAATAGGCATTATGGGATCTAATGCATGATTTCACAATTGCACCTCCTGCTATGCGCATGAGGCACAATTTTGTGTGGATCGCACATTAGATCTTGTCACATCTTTACCTGTACATATAGAGGGGGCCCCAGAAATGTAGTAAATATTTTGGTGACCGTTTCATTTTTGCAACCTTTACGTTCAAGTTCTGTTCACAAATTGCTTTTATTTGAATGTGGCTAATCCCTCATCTAAAAGCACGGTGTGTCTGTACTAGAGAAATAACTTCTAAAATATTAGATGTTATAGCAAGCACGATATGTTCTTTGCAGATGTGAACTGATGTATTCAGTAGCATTGTAGTGGCAAGAGTGAATTACATCTTGTGTTCCTTACTGCTGATAAACTGTCCTTGTGAAAACTGACTGCAAATAAATGAAAAGCTTGAGAACAGCTGAAGAAACCTAGTGCAAATTTATGTAATAAATTCAGAGAATAACAGGCAAGGGAAACTGCATGACAATAAAAAAGTCTGAAAGAACCAAAGGGGACATAACACAATACATGTTGAAGAAAACTTGGAATTGGAAAGGTAATATGAATTGTCTCCTAGAATAGAAACTGGACAAATAATGGCAACGAGACTAAAAGTATTAGCTAATCATAAGTTCCCTTGCTGGTCATTTAAAGATCACAGTCCCTTTTTCCACTTAATTTGCTGTGGTTTTGGCACAAATGTCAGTGGTCTGTTACAGGCTCTTTGTAATTACTGTATTTCAGGAAAGTTTGACATGATGATATACGAGTTGTCCTTGGAGATCTCATCCTTCACTTTTGTTTATTTTCTAAATATATTTACAGCTTGCAGTCCAAGCGTCCTGAAACTGTAACTGAAGATACAAACAGAAATGAGACACCAAAGAAAAAACACAAAAAAAATGGAACAGTGAATTTTGAAGGAGACAGTAACTCAGGGGAGGTTGTAGAGGATGCAGACACTGCTGTGAGAGAATATGCAGAAGAGCAAAATCCTGATGATGTGAATGGATTATTTCATAAAAAAACAAAGAAGAAGAAAAAGCATAAGCAAGAAAATCAAGAACCTGTGCTTCCTGGCAGTGACACTAGTGATTACCAGAGTAACCACAAAAAGGAAAAGAGAAAGAAAAGAAAATATTGTGAGGAAAATCATGAATTATCTCAGTTGGCAAAAGAACCCAAAGCGACAAAGTGAAAGAAACAACAAATGGACTGAAATTTAAAAGGGTTTTCTTTGCATATGACTTTTTTCCTTTGTAAGTATTTGATAAACTGCTAATAAAATATTATTTTGATTATTTATGTATGCCTTTCAGCTTTTTGTCACTTACGATAGCATTAAGATGTCCTAATCAAAGTCAGGGTCCCACTAAAGTCAGGGGGCCTGTAGGAATTAAACACAACAGCAATAATAATCCCACAACCTGAGTGGGGAAGCTGCCTACACCAAACAAGGAAGGCATTTCAGCCTCCACACTTCTTGGGAGAATAGGCACCTGAGAGCACTGTGCCTGTATCCACTTAACATCCCTAGCCTGGAGTCCTATTCTGAGGATAGGCATCTTCTTTCAAAGAACTGAGCAGGAGTGGCTTCTTAACGAGGCAGTATAAGAAGGTGCTGTTGCTTTCCCCTTTTATATTGCAGCCTAGTAATTACACCACTTTCCTAGGAAATAAAGAAGACCTGGGATCAAGGCCCTCTTCAACCTGGCAAGTTTCAAACCCACATCTACCTCCCTGGCAAGTGCCCAAACCGCCAGGCCCTAGACTAGGCTGAGTAGGAGCAGTCTTTGCCCTTCCTGTGGAAGTATGAAGGATTGCAAGATGAGGCTGTGAATAGAGAAGTTTTGTACCCAACTGGTCAGGGCACTCGGGGGTTCGGAGTTCCTCACTTAAATGGAGGATTTTTTAATTCACCGTTTTGGACTTGCGTGCCTAAAACCTAACCAAATCCTGTCTCAGATGCCAATCTCCTAGGGAAGCAGCTGAAGGCCTTGGCAATTGAATCAGGTTTGTTCTGAATCTCAGAGGCACTGCCTTTTAATCACAAAACCACTTTTCCCTTTATGCACAGTACAGAGCAGACTCCAATGCAGCTTTTAATTTCTTGGATTTGAAGAAATCCCTCCCCCTTTCTCCCCAGAAAGAGAAGGGAGCATGTTTGAAGTATGCTCTGGAAACTCTTTAAAGAGTTAAACACGGAGTAGCCTTTACTCCAAAATAAACCTGAACCCTTCTCTTGTGGGGCAGGGCATTCCATTCGCTTGTGGAACTGATGAGCAGGGCTTCTGTTTTTTTCCATTTAAAAATTGCAGATTCTTTGACAACCTCCAAATTCTCTGATTTAAAAACCACAATATCTGTTTGTCCATGATTAAAATGAAATGCCACTTATTTTATATATATATTGGTTGAACACAACATTTTATTGCTATATTTACAGTTGTGAAGCAATTTGGAAGCCTACCAGTGCTTCAGTCACTATATAATAAAAAAAATCTGAATACCTATAAATTTTGGCATTTGATTTTGGGTTTTTATCATGGAAAATCAGAGCTCTCCCTACTCCTTTCACCCACCGGGACATGGGTCCAGTTGCAGTTGTCTCCGCCTTGTTTCCCCCTCCCCCCAGCTTTGCAGCACTGATATGCCAATGCCACGCCCATGCCATTACCCCTCGCTCACGCCCCCCAGCCCTGCTGTAGGGCACTCCCAGCTGCCAGGGCTATAGCTCTGCAGCCCACTGCAGCAGTGCCTGATCCCTGGCTGCCACTCGCTGGAGGCCACAGCTGCTGTGGCAGAGTAGAGCACAGAGCCTGGTTTCCCCTCCCCCATGGGAAGCACTGCCAGAGTGGAGCCCATGGGGGTTGTGGGCTTGGGGCTCCCTGCCCTGCTGCCCTCCACCTGGGGCCTCCGTGACCCAGCAGGTGAGAGAGCGGCAGAGCAGGGCCCGGCAGGGAAGCCTGTTGCCACTGCTGGGAGCCCTGTGCTGCTGTGGTAAGATGCCCACTGCCCACCCAGCAGCAGTGAGGGACACAACTGCACTACCATCCCCACTGCTGGGCAAGAAGAGGTTGCTTTGTGATAGTATTGGGCTTGTGGTGGTAGCACCAAGCTTCCCTGCTCTGTTCTGTGCTGCTGCGCCAGGTCCCTCTTGCTGGGCTATGAAGGCCCCGGGGGGGAGGGCAGCAGGGGGGGAGCCTGAGCCTAGAGTAGCCATCCCTCACCTGCCCTGTGCGCATATCTGAGGGACATATGCCCCCCATTCTGGCAGCAGCGAGAAGCCAGAGCCCTCTTAGCCCTCAAAAGAGCTGCCCACAGCCCTGTCTCAATCCCTGCCTGAGCCCTGTGGCTGTACGTTCCTGCCCCATGCACTGCCTGTACTGGGCAGTGGTCCCAGCCCTCCCTCTCTCACTATGGGGGCCTCAGTCGCTGCCCCCCCCCCCCCCC